GCAGGGCCGCACCTGGGCCCGGGAGGAGGCCGAGCTGCAGAAGGCGCGGGAGCAGGCGGGCCAGGAGCGAAGGCAGCTGCAGCAGGAGCTGCGATTGCTGGAGCAGCAGAAGCAGGAGCGGGTGCAGCACCTGCAGGAGGAGTCCCAGCTGCTCAGCCAGAAGACAGAGAGCGCGCGGAAGCGGGCGGCCCAGCGGGACCAGGAGCTGTCGCAGCTCGAGGCGGCCATCCTGCACGAGAAGGACCAGATCTATGAGAAGGAGCGGACCCTGCGGGCCCTCCACACCAAGGCCGGCCAAGAGGAGCTCAGCCAGGAGACACAGACGCGGGAGACCAACCTGTCCACCAAGATCTGCATCCTGGAGCCCGAGACGGGGAAGGACATGTCCCCGTACGAGGCCTACAAGCAGGGCGTCATTGACCGCAGCCAGTACCTCCAGCTGCAGGAGCTGGAGTGCGACTGGGAGGAGGTCACCACCACGGGGCCCTTCGGGGAGGAGTCGGTGCTGCGGGACCGTCAGAGCGGGAAGGAGTACTCCATTGAGACCGCCCTGCGCTGCCGGCGCATCGCCAAGGAGGAGTACCACCTGTACAAAGCCGGCCAGCTGCCCATCTCCGAGTTCGCCCTGCTCGTGGCCGGCGAGAGCAAGCCCAGCTCTTCGCTCTCCATCGGCTCCATCATCTCCAAGTCCCCGCTGGCCTCCCCCGGCCCCCACAGTGCCAGCTGCTGCCCGCCCAGCTTCACGCTAGGGCTGGGCGACGACAGCTTCCCCATCGCCGGCATCTACGACATGACCACTGACAACAAGTGCAGCATCAAGACGGCCGTGGCCAAGAACATGCTGGACCCCATCTCCGGACAGAAGCTGCTGGAGGCCCAGGCGGCCACCGGGGGCATCGTGGACCTGCTGAGCCGGGAGCGGCACTCCGTGCACAAAGCCGTGGAGCGCGGGCTGATCGAGAACACCTCCACCCAGAGGCTGCTCAACGCCCAGAAGGCCTTCACGGGCATCGAAGACCCGGTCACCCGGAAGAGGCTGTCGGTGGGCGAGGCCGTGCAGAAGGGCTGGATGCCCCTGGAGAGCGTGCTCCCCCACCTGCAGGTGCAGCACCTGACGGGCGGGCTCATCGACCCCAAGCGCACGGGCCGCATCCCCTTGGCCCAGGCTCTGCGCTCAGGGATGATCAACGAGGAGCTGGCCCAGCTTCTGCAGGACCAGTCCAGCTACGAGAAGGGTCTGGTCGACCCCCTCTCCAAGGAGCGGCTGAGCTACAAAGAGGCCATGGCCCGCTGCTGCAGGGACCCCCTGAGTGGCCTGCTGCTGCTCCCCGCCGCCCTGGAGGGGTACCGCTGCTTCCGCTCCGCCTCCCCCACGATGCCACGGAGCCTGCGCTGAGGGGCCCGGCTGCCAAGGGTGTGCTTGTGTGGGCACCTGTGTGAGGCCCAGGGTGGGGTCATATCCCACCCCACCCCCCAAAGTTGGATCGTCGACCCCTGGGAGTGGGCCTTCACTGTCCTGACTGCTGCTTCACTGTCCAGCCATTCCTGGTGTGGGGCTCCCTCCATGATTACACCCCCGATCCACCCCGACCCCCGACGCCCCATCTTCCCTCCTCTCCCGGTGCTTCCAATAAAGGCATCTACCAGCTTCTCCTTCACGCTCAGCCGTGGAGTCTGTCTGTCTGGGGTGGGCATGGGGACGGAGCTCCTGCTGGAAACAGCCAGCCTCCCAAACCGTTCACACCCAGAGGCCCGGCAGGGGGCGCCCTTCCCCTGATCTTCTGGGTCAGTGTCCACTGAGGCCCTGCTGACGCTGGGGAGTCCGAGAAGGACTAGGACCCACACACACCTTCCCGTCAGCCCTGGCCCCTCTGAACGCTGGCTCAGTTCAGCCTCCCCCACCCCCGTCAGCAGAAGCTGTGTCTCCCATAAGCAGAACACGGACACTCGGAAACAAGTCACTTTTATTGTTCTTAAAGCCAGAAGCAAACAAACATGAGCAAATTACAGGGGCACAGACAAGCCCTGACACCCCCAGGTTAGTTCCCCTTGGGGGGCGGTGGGTCATCTCAAGGGCTAAACTGCGCCAGCCCACACTGGCGGTGGGCTAGGGAGTGCTCGGTGGTGAAGTACGGGTGGGCCAGGGCCACCTTGGCTGAGATCCGCTGGTTGGGGTCGCACTGCAGGAGTTGCTGGGGAGGAAGGTGGTGGGTCTGAGCATGAGGGGACAAGGCAGCGGGGGAGGGGGGAAGGGAAGGGAGGGTCCACCTGTCCACCTCTTCCATAACCCTGACTCCTGGAAGTTCAGGCGAAGAATCACTTCTCTGGTCTCCTGTACTCGTCCCTGTGCCTGCCTGCATTGGTTCTCCATCCCGGAAGCCTTTCCAAAGTCCACTGTCCACCTCCCTTAGGAACACACACACACACACACACACACAGCCCTGCCCTGCCCTGCCCCACATCAGCTTCGAGTTCGTACTGGGAGGCTCTCCCTCCCTGTGTGTCTCCTGCCTTACAGGTTAGCTCTTGGCCCCGGGCAACCGCTGACCCATCTGGAAAGCAGATTGGCCAGCCAGGAGCCCTGCTGCCTCCCTCAGTTGTGTGCAGGGCAGGCTGCCCCTGCTGGCTGGGCCCCACCACCATCCTCGCTCACCCCTACTGCTGCCCCATCCTGACCCCTTGGCCAAACTGCCCAGCCGGCCTCATGAGGGGTCTGGCAGGGCCGTGACTTGCCGCACAGAGAGGCCAGAAGCCAGTCTCTCTTGAATCGAGTGTTGGGCCTCCTTGGCCAGGCAGGTGGGGTCTGCGCCCCCCCAGGCTGGGTGTCAAAACCAACAAGTGGTCTGTGTGTAAATGCTGAGCAGGACCCGGGAGCCTTCCCACCCAAGGCCCAGGGGGTCCCACACCCTGGCTGGCTGTAGAGCCTCCAGCCCGTGAACAAGGAGCCCTGGTGGCAGAGGGGTGAAGCACTGGCCTGTGATCCACAAGGTACACAGTTCAAACCCACCAGCCTCTCCGTGGGAGAGAGACGAGGGCTTCCTACTCCCGTGAAGAGTAACCGTCTCAGGCACACAGGGGCAGGGCCACCTGTGAGCCAGCGAGGAGCTGGTGGTGCAGTGGTTAAGTAGTGCTTGTGGCTGACTCACAGGCTGGTAGCGCAAACCCACCGGCCTCTCTGCACCAGGGCTATGGCAGTTCCTTCTGGTAAGGCCGGCAGCCTGGGGCCTCACAGGAACGGTTCTACTGTCCTACAGGTTGTTAGGAGCCCAAATCTAGTGGACAGCAGTGGGTCTCATTTTTTTAGTGGGGGGTAAATCATGAAAGGACCCCTGGTGGTGTGAAGGCTAAAGCATTCAGCTGCTAATGAAGAGTTGGCGGTTCAAACCCACCAGCTGCCCTGGGGTAGCTGAGGCCATGGCTTCCTTAAAGAAGACAGCTTTGGAGACCTGAGAGGCGGTGGGCAGGGAGAGGTGGAGCTGCCCCACCTCTCTGCATTTCTGCCCTCCATTCCAGGGGCTTCCACCAGTCGACCCCAGGGGGCTGGAAAGGGGAGTCATTCGGGTTTAAAGAGGTGGGCATGTCAGAGGTCGGTGAACAGAGGGCCATGCTGGTTGGAGCAGTAGCTAATGAGAAGGCCCTGCTGGCCCTCTGCCGCCGCCCACCTGTACCTACCATGAGCAGGTCCTTGCCCTCTGGCTCCAGGTTGGGCACGATCTCCTCCATCCCCTTCCTGGTCCACTTGGGGAAGCTGCCCTTGAAGTCAGGCAACTGGGTGACGCCCGGCCATGTGGCTTCGCTGGGTGTCCCCAGGGTCCGGAAGATCCGAAAGAGCTGGTCGATCTCGGAGTCACCAGGAAAGAGGGCTCTGTGGGTTACCTGGAATGACAGGGGGACCAGGTGTGGAGCTGGCTGGCAGCTACGCAGGTAGAACGGGGAGGGGCTTCCAGAGCTCTCTCCCAAGGCTACTGAAAGAATTCTGGCTTTTCCTGGGACCCAGCCCATTGCCTCAGCCTCTGGCCACTCTCCAACAGCCCCAAACACCAATGGCCTTTGAGTCCACCAGGGCCCCCGGCGGCCTCTTTTGTTCAGAGCAGAACTGAGCTCTACAGAGACTCCAATGGGGGGTTGAGGACAGACTGGATTTTTACGCAAACAATGAGCACGTTATGCAGGCTCTGGCAAACCACACGGCCCTGAGCACACTCGTTTCCTGTGCACCATGTGTTACACGCACATGTGCTGTTTGCCTGGGTGGGCTATTTGCCACACACACACAAAGTAATCACCAGGCCTTTCTTCCAAGCTGCCTCTGGGTAGCCTTGAACTGCCAACCTTTCCATTGTCACCATGCACACTGACCGTGTGCACTACCCAGTGACTCCTTGGTTCCTAGTACTATCGAGGAGCCCAGGGAGTGCAGCAGCAGAGTGCTCGGCTGCCAGCTGAGAGGTCGGCGGTTCAAATCCACCAGCTGCTCGGAGGGAAAGGGATAAGACAACCTGGTTCTGTAGAGAGGACGGCCTAGGGGGCAGTTCTGCTCAGTCCGGTAGGGTCACCAGGAGTCAGACTCGCCTGGGCAGCACTGAGCTCGGGGTTCTTTGGGATCTAGCAGGAGTTCTCCGCGGGCCCCACCCCCACACAGCAGGAGACTGGCACACTGCCTGTGGCCTCCCCACACCCAGGCCTGTCCCCTCTACCATCTCAGCAAAGATGCAGCCGATGCTCCAGATGTCCACTGCGGTCGAGTAGAACTTGCTGCCCAGGAGGATTTCAGGGGCACGATACCACAGGGTCACCACCTATGGGACGAGAAAGCAGCATCCGGCAGGGGTGTTGGAGGGGGCTGAGCATGTGGCGGGCGGGCGGCATTCTTTGGGCTACCCTTCCCACCCGCTACTCCCCCCCGCCCCACCCAGCGGCACCTCGTGGGTGTAGGTGCGCAAGGGCACTCCGAAGGCTCGGGCCAGCCCGAAGTCGGCCAGCTTGATGGCCCCCAGCTCGTTAATGAGCAGATTCTGGGGTTTCAGGTCTCGGTGGATGACCCGGTGGGAGTGGCAGAAGTTCACGCCCTGCAGCAGCTGGAAGAGGTAGTTCTGGAACCGTGCAGAGGAGAAGGCTCAGCACATGGGGGTGGGCCGAGGGGGTGTCCCCACACCCTCCCCCTAGGCCCCTGGGACCTTGACCAAATGCAGGGGGAGCTCGGAGGCTGGCCTGGAGTCCATGTGCTTCCGCAGGTCCTGGTGCAGGAACTCGAACACCAGGTAGAGCTGCTTCTCGTGGTGGACCACGTCCAGCAGCCTGCTGGGAGATGCTCACTGAGGCCCGGCCCCGCCCAACGTCCGCCCTGCAGCTGCCCTGCTCCTTCCCCCACCCACCTGACGATGTTGGGGTGCTTCAGCTCCTTGAGCAGGGAGATCTCTCGGATGGCGGTGCTCGGGACACCCTCGGTATCCCTGCAGGAAGGGGAGGGGTGCACAGTAGGAGCGTGGAGTCTGGGAGGGATGCTCGGGCGGGGTTGCTTTTGCCTTCCCACTCCCAGAGCAGGGCCTGAAGGCCATGCCTGGTCAGCTTGGGGGCAGGGCACGGGCAGGGCAGGAGGGGCACCCCATGACTGCCCTCGTGTGCACTGGTGCCGAAGTCCAGGGTGCAGGCACAGCACGGTGGGCCAGCCCAGGCCGTGTGTGGCTGGCTTGGGGTCCGGGCCTCGCAGGGGCCATCCCGGCACTCACAGGTCCAGCCTGATCCTCTTGAGGGCCACAAGCTGCCCTGTCTCCCTGTTCTTGGCCTTGTACACCACCCCGTAGGTCCCCTCGCCGATCTTCTCCACCTTCTGGAAGGCGTCCATGGCCACAGAACTGCCTGGGAGACAGAACGCGCCCAGACATCTGCCCCAGCACCCCATACCCACCCAGTCCCCCCAGCACCCGCGTCCTGGGGCCCAGCCCCTCCCTGGGAGCCTGGCTGTGCCACCTCGGCCCAGCCCCGGCCGGAACCCTCGTTCTCGGGGCCCCTCGTCCGGGGTGCCCGGACGCCTGATGCACCTGCAGGGCCCGCGCTCTGTGAGGAGAAGTTCCCCCCTTCCTGTGCCCAGGCCCAGGGAGTGGGGGCAGGAGGCCTGCCCAGGGCCGGGGCAGCTGGCTGGTCGAGAGGTCAGGGGTTGGAACAGGGTCCAGAAGCCGACACCCCATCCTAGGCCTGGGGGTGGGCCCTCCCTGTTGAGCGACATGCAGCCTCCCCTGAGGGCAGAACCCTGGCTGGGGTGGCCCCTCTGTGTCACAGACACCCCCCACGAGGCCCTGTGGTGGCCAGCCCCCTCCCCTCCGCCCAGGGGCCCAGGATGGATGTGAGAGTCACCAGAAGCCCCGCCGCCTGCAGCCTTGGGAGGAAGTCAGCTGCTGCCTGCCCGCAGCGCCCCCTTCTGGCCCGGCGGGCGCCGCAGCACGTGCTCAGCAGGGACACGCCCATCACAGCCAGCCTTTATTCTCCAGGGCCTTCTGGAACATTCTGGGCTCCACACCTGGTACAGCTCGTCTGGGGAGGGCAGGGGTGGCCAGGCCCCCTGGGCAGCACCAGTCTCTGGGGGGGTTGGCCCAGGAAGCGGGCTTAGGGTGGTGGAGCGGGGGGTGACTGTCATTCCCTATGGGCTGTGCCGTCCCTCTCTTGCTGGTACAGCCTCTGCTCCCTGATGGCGTGTTCCAACAGAGCTAGATTCATCCCCTCCACGCAGGTTAGCACGCGCGCCTTCACCACGGCCTCTCCACCTGAAAGACACAAAGGCCCGGGCCACTGCAGGGAGAGCGCTGGACGAGGGGTCGGGACACCCGCCACACATGCCTTCTAGCTGCCATCCCTCCGTTGGCTCAGCCCTGGGTCCTGGTGGGGAGGGCAGGGGCAGGAAGGACATCATGCACTCACGCACACTTGCATGCTGGGCCTCAGAACCATGGGCCTGAAGGTTCCACTGCCCTCCACCCTGAACACCTAGGCACGTGCTTTCTTTGACATCTTAATTCCGGTCAGCATCCCCTTAAGGCCCAAGAGCCCAGGGTCTGGGTGGGGGGTGTGTGTGTTGGTCTCAGTCACCAAACCAGCTCTCCGCTCCTCCGGAGAGAAAGGGCCCTTTTGGGACCCTGGAACCGACTGGCATTGGACATTGGGACATCGGACATGGGGCCGAGCTCTAGGATTTTGGCCTTGTCGGGGTAATTCAGGCCCCGCCCTCGACCCGTGAGAGGCTAGGAGGGGTTTTAGCAAATAGATCAGGGATGGGGAGTGGGCTGTCCTTGTTCATGCAGAAACATCCGGGATTTCTCCACTGGAATTTATTTCTTCTTCGCTGATCCTCTCTGCTCTCTGGGCACGTCAAGGACAGGACCCTGCCTCCCGATGCCGGTCTGAGACAGAGGTTCTGGGAGGAGGCAGGGGCTTTTCTGGAAGTCGGGGCCAGCGCGGGGATTTCCCATCACCCAGGGCATATCAGGCTGGCTGGGTCCCAGCACCAACACAGGGGGCCCTGCAAGATGGCATTCTCTGATTGCTGCCCGAGGTCTTGGTCTTACCTGGGGCCGAGGGGGTGAGGGAGTTTGCTGAGAGGGACGGGGGAGGGAGGGGTCTGACATCAGGTCCCAGGTGGATTCGGACTCCCGGGACCCTACATGGGGTTTCTGAGACCACACATCTTGGCGGGATCAGCCAGCCTCATCTTTCTCCTGAGGAGCTGCTGGTGGCTGTGAACCGCTGACCTTGCGGCCAGCAGCTCAACCCCCCCAGCCCAAAGTCCCAACCAGCACTCCTGGGAGGAAGTCTAGGCATCGTCAAGGGTTCCGAGGAAACGAAGGACAGGGACAGGTGTCAGGGTGCCAGTTCACGGCCCCCCGTGTGTCGGACCACCAAACCCAATGCACACCATCCTGGAGGACGGAGCGGACCTGCCCCACGGGGTGTCCAAGGCGTCAGCCGTAAGGAAGCCGATCCCCAAGTCTCCTCTCCAGGCCGGCAGCTGGTGAGTGTGAACCACAGGCATTTCTTGAGAGGTCAGAGATGAGGAGGTCAGCCTGCCACCAACCCAGGGAACAGCGTGCCTCTCCACTCACTGGCCAGGGTGGAATCGGAGAGGGTGGCAGCGGGCACGGGACCAGGTAGGTGGCAAGGCGGAAGGATGGGTTGGAGACCTCCGGTAGGGAAGAAGCTGGCAGTGAGTCCCCTCTGGAGGGAGGCCCGAGAGAGACACCAGTGTCCGGAATGCTGCTGAGCCAGGGACGAGAGGGGGCTGGTTCTGGCTGAGGGAGGGGGGCAGGCTCCCTGGGGAGACCCGGTTGGCAGAGAGACTTGAGGAACCAGCTCGGCGGGCGTGGGTGTTTGGGTGTGTGTGGCTTGGGAGGCTACACAGGTTCCCAGAGGAGGCGTGGACGGCGAGGGCTGGGGTGGCGCAGAGCCAGGTTCCGGGAACGAGCGTGAGTGCAAACAGAAGGGTCTGATCTGGAGAGCCCGCCTCGTTCACACGGAAACTTCCTCTTTCTCAATAAGGAGCCGGAGGAGGCGGGAGCAGGTTCAGGAGGGCAGGAGGGGCAGTCGAGGGGCTGTGTGGTGAGACCAGAGGGCAGTCACTTGTCGGCAGGTTTGTAGTGTAGGTGCTGGGCATCCCAGCAAGGGCCGCATACCACGCTGGCATGGGCTCACAGCATGGGGCCCAGGGCGCCGGCAGGGGCTTCTAGCATCACCGCCACCATTACTGTCGCCGTCTCAGTGAGCTCCAAGGGCAACAGGCCCAACCAGCTCTGTCCTCAGAGCCGCCGGGATCCAAGCCTGGCAGACCCTTGCACCCACTGGGCGGGGGCCAGACCCGCAGATGCCACTGGCCCTGGCACTGCCCCAGTCCCCCTGCCAGGTTAGAGGGCAGCATCCACCCTCTGCCCGCCCTGCTCCCGTCTCAGTGCTCACTGGGCTGTGAAGGAGAAGCACGTGTTCCCTAGAAAACTGAGGGGAATTGTTTAAGGACAAACGGAGGGTGGGGGAGTCCAACGACAGGGAAACGGGGAGCAGGCAGCCTATGAAGGATGCTGTTTGTTGTACGAGCCCCCAATAAAATGATTTAAAAAAAAAAAGAATGCTGCTCAGGTCAGTTCCACTTCGAGGAGGTGCACGTGTGTGTGTGTGTGTGTGTGTGTGTGTGATGTGACTTGGAAGGTGTATACCTCTGTGTATGCATATGTGTGGTGGGTGTGTATGGTGTGTGTATGATGTGGTGTGTATGTGTAGTATGGTGTGTGATATGGTATGTGTGGTATAGTATTATGTGGTGAATGTGTGTATAGATATGATGGGTGTGGTGTGTGTATGTGGTGGGGGGGTGGCAGTGTTGTATGTGTGTGTGGTATGTAGATGTGGTGTGTATGATGTACTCTGCGGTATATATATGCACATTTGTGAGTGTGTGCTCTGTGTGTGTGTGTGTATCTGGTGGGGTGTGGGGTGTGTATCTGGTGTGTGGTGTGGTGTGTGTACATACATGTGTGAGTGTGTGCTCTGTGTATGTATGTTTTTGATATGTGGTGGGGTATGCTATGTGTACATACACGTGTGAGTGTGTGTTCTGTGTGTCTGGTATGTGGTGTGTGTGTGCATACATGTGTGTGTGCTCTGTGTATGTGTGTGTCTGGTATATGGTGGGGTATGGTGTGTATGTATATGTGGTGAGTGTGTGCTCTGTGTATCTGGTATGTGGTGGGGTGTGCTGTGTGTACATACACGTGTGAGTGTGTGCTCTATGTATGTGTGTGTCTGGTGTGTGTGCGGCATGTATAGTTCAGAAGGGGAGCTGGGCCCTTCTGCGTGGGTGCGAGCAGAGGCACATGTGGCCCCTTCTGCAGTGGGAGGAGCCCTGGGCAGGCTCAATGGGTGGCAGACCCCTTTCTTCCCTGCACCCCCCAGCCCCATCAACCCCTCCCCCAGTGACTTCTGTTCCAAGGAGGGGCTGGCCTCAGCCTTAGAGGAGGCTCACACCTAACGTGGTCCCCAGAGGGGCCACACTGCTCCCCCGGGGTGGGGGGGGCACTGCAGCAAAAGCCAGTTCCTTTCCCACCCGGGACCCTGGGTGAGGGTCTGGGGAACACAAGCTTCCCTCCAGGGGGCGCTGCTGAGTCATGCCCTTTGCTACCAAGGGGCAGCGAGCTAAAGGCGCTTGGGAACCCAGCTCTCCTGCACGCTTCCCCTGCGAGTCTTATCAAAGGGTCTGCCCGTACAGGAGGGGCAGGATGAACGCAGAGGAAATGGAAACGCCACCAAGCACACGATTAAAAGCTGTTTAAGAGACAAGAAAGAACCTGTGGGGCTGGCGCTGGGCCAGGAGGCACTCAGTGCCATGGGCAACCGAGGCCCCTGTGAGGAGGTCCCAACTCCAAGCCAGCCACCACAGCAGCCACGAGTCCCACGGCCACGAGAGGGGGAAAGGAGCCGGCTGACAGCCACCGGAGGCAACACCAGCCACTTCCAGGCTCCAGAAACTCTGCAGGACCCTGGCCCTGGCCCTCCGTCGAGTGAACACCAGTACGGACACTTAAAGGCAGAAGAGTTGCTTAGACGGGGCGAGGAGGCGCTGACGCCAGTGGGTACAAGGATGAAGAGAGTCCCTACATCGACGTGCCGCCGCCGCCACTAGCACATCTCCTGGACACATCTAAGCCACGGGGTCGCATGGCATGTGATTTACACGCCAATAAAACCGCTCTTGAAAATGTAAAGAAACAGACGTTTGAGCGTGAAGGGAGGCAGAACCGTGAGGGGCACGTGGGGCACACCCTGCATTTTCTCCATTCAACATGCGCCGCACACCACTGGAAACGAACCCCTAGTTTGCAGAAGGCTGGACAATGCCTGCGTTATCTGAATAAAAATAAGATAAGCCAAACACAGCGAGTGGACCTTGTTTGGAGCCGACTGGAATCAGTCATGAAAAGCCACACACACACACACACACACACACACACACACACACACACACACACACTTTTTGGGTGGCAATGGAGGGAACAGACACAGACAAGGAAGTGCTGCTGTTCACTTTGTTCCAGGGTGATAAATATCTCCACACCTCGAGGTAAACATCACACCTAACAGAGTGAAGGGGACTTGATTCTCTGATACACTTACGACATGCACCTGCCAGACAAGCACATGAGGACGGCTGAAACAGGACAGTAGGGTGAGGGTCACAGTTGGACCCGGAAGCAGCCCTGGGGGTGTAATGGTTACAAGTGGGGCTTCCAACCAAAGGTCAGTTCAAAACCACCAGCCGCTCCGGGAGACAGGCAGAGCTGTCTACGCCCGGGAAGAGTCACCATCTCAGAAAGTCGCAGGGCCAGTTCTCCCTTGTTAGCTGAACCTGGGTGACTTTCTTACATGATTCTTTCTACTTGTGGGTACTTCTGAGATGACCACACTACATTAAAAGAGAGGTTTGGGGCTCAAGTAGAAAGAAAATATCTTGAAAAAGATGATGACAACATATGGACAGATGTGTGTGAAACAACGGATATAGGTATGGAATGTGATGAGAGCTGTAAGAGCCGCTAATAAAATAAAAACTAAAAAAAACACACCAAAAAGATGTTTATTTCTGTCTTTTCCCCACTTGGCTTCCAATAAAAAGTCCCAAATGTCCGCCCTGGGCCCTGCCCGTCTCCTCGACTGCTACCCCACCCTAGCGCCAACCCCTCCTGTATTCACATTTGGGGCTTAAAGCTTAGACCGAGGGCAGTTGGTCCCTGGGGGTCCCAGCCTCACTGTGGGGGCCAGGAGGACTAGGGAAGGGTAGGCAGAGGCCCCCAGAGAGGTGGGCCCGCAGTCACTGTGGAATCACTCACACAAATGACCTTTGTGCCCGCTCTTAGCGGCCACGCTCAAAGTCAGTCAATAGGGCAGGGACTCTGTGAGCTTAAAGGCTTAATCCTGAATAAAGGTTAACTTTTATGAAGTAAGATTTAATCAGAGCAAGTGCCCACTTAATTAATGCCCTCCTCCGCTGTGCATTTCATCCAGAGTTTAAAACCACGGGGACTTTTAGAAAACCAGTGGTTGTGGAAATCAATAAACGGATGCATGTTGCTATCTTTTAATCAAGCAAGTCCAGTTTTATGAAACAACCCTAATGGGTGGATGGATTGTGATGAGATATATGAGACCCCAATAAAATGGTTTTTTGATAAAAAAAAAAAAGAACAGTGGAGAGGTCTGAGGGGCCGACCCTAATCCCAACTATGTGGACACCTGCCTCTCCCCCCAGAAGAATTTATTTCAGAGGACAGCACTGAAGCTGCAGCTCAGCAGGAGGGACATGTCTGACCAGAGCACACGGGAGCAAATGAAGGGGGAAGAGGAGAGAGTGGAGCACATCCTGGCCCACCAAGTCTTGAGGACGATATTCCTGCTCAGAGCAGCCAATCCACAGAGAAGACCATATGGCTGGCCCCACTATGAGACACGACATCCCTCACTGACCCATAGCCCTACAGGGGACAACACTGGAGACACAGTATAGGAATTGCACCCAATATGATCTTACCACACCAAGGCACAACACTAAGGGCGTGCACCAGAACAGCAAGGGGAACAGAGCAACAAAGTCCCCAGGGAATACCAAAAATAGACTTTGGGGCCAGGGCTTGGCGCCCCAACAGACTCAACTGGAAAATACTCCTAAAGGCCAACAAACAGTCCTTGAACTAACTACAAGCTCTTCTTTCTTGTTGTGTTTTGTTT